TTATTTTGAAATCAGCTGGATGCACCTTGCTGGCACATGTCTCACTTTCTGACTCTGCATGCAGCGTCTGGAAAAGTCAGATCCATGTGGAAAGACTCTGCAGCTCCGCGTTCACACCCGGTGTAAATGCGCTAACTGGTCTTTACGGAAGCTACACCCAGTAGCACACTACATAAATACACGGATTCTGAGCCACATCTGATCAGCACTCTGATCAGATTGTAAATGCAGTCTTTGACACAGAAACAATAACAGAAAAAATCTTTAAAAGATACTTTAGAGTCGGTGTTTTTCAGTATTTCAGTGCTACAGACGTACAAGAATTGCCTTTTATAAAATATTAGAGATCTATTTCATTAATACATCAATTATCCATTAGATAGTTCATCATCTTTGCCGGTTTATTGCCTTAGAGGCACAGAATTTTAAATATGAATAAAAATAAAGAATGAACAATTCACTTTTATCATTCTCAGATCTGCTTTAAGAAGGATTCTTCTCCAGCGAAGACTTAGAAACACCACTGCACATGTTTTCAGGACTATTTCTATAAATCCAGCAGCTAGCACACAATGCTGTAGACTTCACACACTGCGGGGACCTAAAAACACAAGATTACAGGCTTTTCACCAAAGCTACAAGATTGTGGAAAATGAGCTCACTGTTGTATAAAACATCCTGGCTTTCCCATCGCAGCATTTCCCTGAATCCTGTTAGGACAAGATGAAAGGCTTTGTGCCCCAATATCACCGTAACTGCAGGTGTGCAGGCTCCCATTTCATCAGCGTTCCTGATGATCGTCTGGGGGCCAGTGGTGAGCAATCTGCACATCTGGATAAGCATCTGATGGTTCAATCAAATTCAACACCTCACAGGTAGATGTTTGGATACTCAGGAGGGGTGTGTGTGTGTGTGTGTGTGTGTGTGTGTGTGTGTGTGTGTGTGTGCGTGCGTGCGTGCGTGCGTGCGTGCGTGCGTGCATGCATGCGTGTGTGTGTGTGTGTGTGAGAGTATCAGATCATTTTTCTTAGGTGTATGTTTCATCTCGTTTGATTCCGGGCACACTGGCCCAGAGCCAAACAACGATTCCAACCAGGGCGCCTCCAGCGATGTTTATCCGGTCCCGGGAAAACGTTGGAGGAAAAGAGGAAAACGAGCAGGAATCCAGGTGAGAATAAGACTTCTCTTAAAGCGTAGGTTATCTAGTAAACATCGGCGTGATCTTCCAGCTTCTTCTCCTTTGTTTGGCGACTTGAGCGCCACTTCCGCATTCCCGCCAGGCCGCGTTGCGGCTCGGTTTCTCCGTCCAAGATTTTTAAGGTCTATTTATCCTCATTCCTGAGTGCTTTCTCCTCCTGTTCCCTCCATAAGTGGTTTTTATAAACACCGTGGATCTAACCCTGCTAATTTATGTCCACTAACTCCAGCTGTTTCTGTAGTTTCTGATTCCTCCACCTCACTCAGCATGGCTCTATTAAATACCCGCTATGTTAATAATAAGTCCTTCCCGCTCAATGATTTTATTCTCTCTAAAAACCTGGATTTTCTGTTTCTGACTGAAGTTTGGCAGCAAGCATCTGATTATTCTGGTATGATTGAACTCTGCCCGAGTGGTTATTCTTTTCTTAGCCAGCCCCAGGGTTCTGGTCGTGGTGGAGGCCTAGCTGTTGTTTTCAGAGACCATCTTCCACGTAGCTCTACAACCTCTGGTCACTTTGCTTCCTTTGAACTGCAGCTGATTAAAGTCGGGTGTAAGGATCCTTTCTACTGTGCTGTGGTATATTGTCCACCTGGTCCAAATGGTTCTTTCCTTCAGGAGTTTAGTGACTTTCTATCCTCCACTGTGAAGCTGTCCAGACTGGTGATTGTGGGTAATTTTAACATCCACGTTGATGATCCCCGTGATCACTTTGCCATGAATTTCTCCAGCCTTATGGACTCCTTCAGCTTTACCCAGCATGTTTCTGGCCCCACACACACCAGGGGGCACACTCTAGACCTTGATCGTGGAAGTTGTCCCAGTAAAAAGATTTGGTCTGTCATTTGCATCATAGCTGCACTTCTACTGTAAGAGACTGAAGGTAGGGAAAGATCCAACGAATCACATTTTTAAAAGAATTTTTGTGTAAAGTGTAACTTGATGGAAGTGTTTTTTTACTGAATGATCAATAAAATGTGATATTCCATATAAATATGAATTATCAATTGTATTGGTCTTTGAATCTTTGATTTAATATGAATAATATGATTCTAGGTTTAGTCTGGTTTATATTCATGACAACTCTGAGGGGGTGAATTTTTTGTAACTCTTCTGTTCAAGTGGAATTAAAATCTATGTTAAGAATATGGAACATGAACACAACAGCAGTGTCCAGTGACAAACCATACAGAGCAAGGCGTAATTTCCACTAAAACATTTATTTTACAACATTATTTACTGTTAGAACATCTTTTGGACTCAGAAGCAGCTGCTTGACTTGCAGAGTCCACCATTTTCCAC